AAGTGTTTTAGACATGGACAGTGGTCTCAAGTTGTGGCCCTGAAAAGGAATAGTCTGGTGAGGTAAACAGTGAAATTCAAGGCTAGGGTGTTGTCTCAATGGGCCTTGATATGGTTGGAATAAGTGATGGAATTTGGAGGAGGAGAAGAGAGGAGGGGAGCTAGTTGCCAGTGTCCTTAAACATGACAGTGCCAAGAGGTAAATAGCTGGCAATGACAAGGAAAATTGGATGTAAAATATAGTGTTTGAGAAAAGAGACTTTGGAATCAGAAGGCTGAGTGTGGATTTTTTTCTAGATTGGTGACCTTGATCAGATTACTTAATTTTACTGAGACTATTTTCCCATTTTTATAGTGGAGATGTTGGCATGTGGGGCTACTAAGAATTGTTATGAGAGTGAGATGATGGCTTGTAAAGCACTTAGTGCAGTATTTTGACACATTGTACAAAGAGTTTGCTAGGAAGCCTGTTACTGTTCTTCACTTTAGATATTGCAAGGTTTTAATACACTAAATTGGATATAATAAGAAGGATTTATTAAAGAAATATTTCAAGGACTGATGGTGGTCTTGCTTAGAAAAAAAGAAGCTTTACTAGTTCTAATCATAATGGGATAATAGTGAAAGTGAAAAGGTGTAAGAAATGGTGTTAATCATGGTGCTGGTGATGGTAGAAAAAGAAAGCCTTTATTTGGGCAAGAGCTAGAAGTAGTAAAATGAATTTTTTCAGTGATATTTAGTGTAGCTGTTCTGAGAGCTCTAAAAATCCTCATTATTGAACTTTTTTTTCAGGGGAAAAAAACACAAAACCTTAGTCTAAAACTCTGGCCCTAGTTTCCCTTTTCTCCCATTGAAATAAATATTTTTAAAACATGTCTCTTGGTAATGTGAGGTTTTTTTCCTCCTTTGTAGTCTAGCAGTGCTCTGTGTTGTGGTAGTTGGGAGACTATTAGAAGAAGGTGTAGTTACAAGATGGCATGTCTGGATGTGGACATCCATTCATGTCTGAAGGTCTGGAAGAGATTTGAAAGACTCACCCTGGACCACTCCGGTCCTGCCCCTTTGTCCAAGATGGAGAGACGCTGAGAGACACATAGGGGAGTATGAGCACTGATAGGAAACTGTTTCTCAGTGGTAAGGATTTAGTTCAGGCCAGGAAATTGAGAATGTAGCATTTCATGTATGGTAAAACATGGGATGCAGTAAAAGCAGGTGGAGTAAGAGTGCAGCAGTGGGAAGATGCCTTTCTATTTTGAGCAGTCATTTGAGGCTTACTGTATGCTAGGCACATACAAAGTAAATAACAGTGCCCTTATCTTCCATCTAAGGGATACATGTAAACAGTTAAGTTCAGAGTAGTGATGGTGAATATCTGAGTCTGAGGAAAGGAAGAAGCAGATAAAACTATTGGGAGAGAATGGGGGGAGAATCACAGAATGGGGACAAAAATCAGTGTTCTGATTGGAGTTCCTTGAAGCATAGGTTTTAAGTATTTTTCAGTTATACTATAGAAGCCAGGAAGAATGCTGCTCATGTCATCTCAAATGATTTAATTACTGAATTGGATGTATGTTATTTCCTTAGGATTGTGTGCCATGGACAATTTTACTGAGGGAGACTTCACTGTGGCGGATTATGCATTGTTGGAAGATAGCCCTTACGAAGATGATTGTGTCTTTGCTCCTGAATATACGACGGATGACTATGTTCGTGTGACTCAGCTTTACTGTGATGGAGTGGTAAGTAGGTTTGTTAAATTTTTGTTTTTTACATGGTATATCCTAAAGGCTTTCTGATTTAGGGCATTTGAGTAAAGATTTTGTATGTGTGTGTGTGGCTATGGGTTTTTATAAGAAGGAACACATGCTTTTGAAGAGGTTATTCTTCAAAAGAAATAAGCAGTGCCTCAACAATAAGAATAGATTTCAGAGAATAAATGAAGGCATGAGGTGGCTTTCTGAGAATTAGAAAAACTCTTGAATAGAGTTGTAGAAAGAAACTCAGGAAACATGAAAAAGGCCTTAAATTAAGACTCACTGGCTACAGATATATTCAAAGCATATAAGTAAATGTATATTAGATTTTTTTCAGTTTAGTTCTGCTAATCCATTGATTGAAAGTCAAAAAGTATACTTGTGTATTTTACTAGTTGCAAATCAAAATAATTTTCTTTTTTTTTTTAGGGTATGAAGTATAAAGATTATGCCCAAAGCGAGAAACATTTAGGTGAGCATGTTGACATATTAACGTTAATTTATTGATGGACCACAAATGGAGGTGATTTATCTAGTCATATCAACAAATCAGATTTATATGTCTTCTTAAAAATAAATTCTTACTATTTTTTTTTTTCCTGGAAACCAAAATCTTTCTTTGTAAATTGAGTTTTAGCCAACACTTAAATATTCTTAACATCTAGCAGTTTAAAACATTAATTCATTTCTTGTCTTCTCATATCCATTTTTACCTTTTCTGTATAGCAGTGTTGATTCATTAAAAATCAGGGCACAAATATTAATTTTAAACTTTTTTATTTTAATTAAGAATTTGACATCTGCAATATATGGTGTAGTAAACCACTTTCTGTCCTGCAAGATTACTGTGATGCCATTAAAATATATATCTTCTGGCCACTTCTTTTTCAACATCAGCACAGTTCTGTAATATCACGATTACATCCCTGTGTGGAGACCACGTAAGTCACTATATGTTATTCTTTTTGGATGAGCGGTGATAAGCATATTGCACAGTGCTAAGGAATGCCAAATACAATGGAAGGCTTATACCTCATTCTTTTTTTTTTTTTTTGGTGGTACTGTGGGTTGAACTCAGGGTCTCCCCCGTGCTTGACAAGCTACACCTTCAACCCTTTTTTAAAAATTTTATTTTGAGATGCAGTCTAGCTAAACAAAGTTTAAGCTGCCCTTAAACTTGAAATCCTCCTGCCTCACCATCTGGAATAGCTAGGATTTTAGGCATATGCCACCACACTTGGCTTACTCTTCATTCTTATGTGCTGTTCAGTTTTGCTTTTGTTTAACAGGTAGAAAAAGTAAATTCTTAGAATTTGAATATGAAAGAAAATTTATAACATTATAATGAAATAATTCTGAATAGTATTAGATGGTAGACTTGAAGTTAAGTCAGGAAAAATTAAAATAGTTTTATAAAAGTCAGTGGTATAGAACTGAGAGAGAGAGGATATATGGTTTGGTCCATTTAATAAACTTCTTACTTATGTTACCTAGAGTGGAGAAAAGAACTGAATTTTTTTGTCAGATAGCTTGTAATATAAGCATAAAATTCAGTGAATTTGTATATATGAGAATGTAATCTTTCCAAAAATAAATTTGTCTTTAAACAGTTCTCGTGCCTCTGAGATAAGTTTGAAGAAATTACAATATCTTGAGTTGATGGAAGATATTGTGGATTTGGCAAAGAAAGTTGCGGTAAGTGGTAGAATGTGGCCCCGTCTCCAAAGAATGTAAATATAGAGTGTCAGTTGTTAACTGTTAACTGCTATAAACTGTGTTACCAGTTTATAGCAGTTAACAGATAAGCTTTTTAGTTTTCTTTACCTGAGATTATTCTGCTGTCAGAATGTGCATGGTATGGAAGTGATAACGTTGATGACCAATGTCCTGGTTCTGCCATGCCATAATGGACCAGGACAGCTTCTTGATATTAAAGGAGAGAAATTAGAATTTGTCACAAATGAAAGGGGGCCCTGGTTCATAGAAACTTTAATCACAGGTTCTAAAAGTAAACGAACTCTGTCTTTTGACATAAAAACATACCATTATTGACAAATACTTTGCCTTTGGGATAAAATTTATCAGGATAGATTTGAGGAGGTGTCTTTGTACTATGGTGATTCTCTCTCTCTCTCTTTTGGGGGTGGGGGATTAAACTCAGGGGCACTCAACCACTGAGCTACATCCCCAGCCTGTTTTGTATTTTATTTAGGGTTTCACTGAGTTGCTTAGTACCTCGCTTTTGCTGAGGCTTGCTTTGAACTCATGATCCTTCTGCCTTGGCCTCCTCTCTCTTTTAAAAAGCCATTTGATAATTTTTCTTATTTCAGTTGGTTATGGAGCCAGGTGTTATACTTGTTTTTATTCTGACTGTGAACTTAAATTTAGAAAGCATTCTGGTGTTTATTTCTGCTGATAACTCATTGCAGTAACATACCAGCCAATGTGCCTTGTTAGGAAACCTAGGTCTAATGAACTTTAAAAATCTACACATCTAAAATTTACACAAAATCAGTTTATTACTAGAGCCTTTTGGAAGACTTTTGATGAATTCTTGTTTTAGAGCTCTTAAGGGGTAAATTGATCATGTAAGTGCTTGTGGAAAATATACTACTATGTAATACAGTTACACATCATTTAATGATTGGGGTACATTCTGAGGAATGCACCATCAAATGGTTTTGTTGTCTTCGTATCATATAGTATACTTACACAGACCCAGATGGTGTAGATTAGTCACTGGATGTGGCCTCTTAATGCAATTAAGAGACAAATCGAACACAAGTTGTGACTGCTGCTGACATATGGCATGCTACTTTACAGTGAAGTTTTTTTTTTTTTTTATTTCAATAAGTAGCAGTACACTCTAAAATAACAGTTACATAAACCAGTAATGTAGTTGTTTAATATCATTATCAAGTGTTATACATATATATAATTATCTGTACTATAATATATTTGGTAGTACAGTAAGTTTTATATCAGCATCACATAAGCTTGTGAGCAGTACATTTTATTGTGGTATGTATGATGTCACCATAGCTACAATGTCATTAGGTAATAATAATCTTAAACTCTGTTATAATCTTTGGGACCAATGTCCCATTTGGCTCATCATTGATGGAAAATGTCATTATGCAACACAAGACTATTCCTAAAATGGAGATTTTTTTTTCTATTACAAAATCCAAGAATAAGGAAAAAATGCTTTTTTTGTTCTTTTTTTTTTATTTTGCAGAATGATTCATTCCTTATCGAAGGCTTATTGAGAATTGGTTATAAAATAGAAAATGTAAGTGTTAAATGTGGAAACCCAGCTCACCCACTGAATAAATGGCAGTCACATCACTGCCCATTTTCCCATGTATTGAGACCATATATTCAAAGTTATATGTAATATTTGGTAGTATGGTTTCTATATTTTACTCAGGTAATCTCATTTTGCAGGTTTGCCTCATTACAATTTTTTACCCATATATGTTACAAGTTTTTTTCTTCTCTTTTAGATTGTTTTCCTAGCATATATTCCCCCAAATGAAATTATTAGGTCCCCAGTATGAATATTTTTAATGTATAATTACTAGGTAATCCTCAGATGCAGTGATAAACCAAATTTTAATGGTACTGGTGATAGAAATGTCTTCATGTTTCCTTTAAGCCTTATACCAGCAGTGGCAACTCAGCTATTTAATTTCTGAGGTTATTTCATACATTAAAAGAACAAACATTTCTGTTAACTCTTGACCCTTCATGAGAATCATTGCTCTGAGCATCCATTTGCCTAGCCATAGTCTTGATTATCTCATAATAATTCTTTTTGCCACAGACTGTGTAAAATATGTAGTCCCTGTGGAGAACTTTAATCTATATCTTTAACCTTAGGGTAAAGAGGGAAGTCCTAGTCTAATTGAGATTTGAGACTTCTTTTCTACCTTGTAAATTTGTACTCTCCTACTGCAAAGGACAGCCTTTGACCAGGTTGTAGACCTCAGCTTTTAGGTCTGTAATCATTGCAAAAGCATTTTGAACTCTGAGGGTAGCCCCAGGTCACCCAAAGATGGAACACGTGAGTCCACAGTTTCTGTTAACTTGTATGTTGTAGTCCAGTTATCCTCTATTGTGTGATGGAGTAATGAAAATACATAAGTTTTGTATAAAGGTTTGAAATACTGATTAAGATAAATATATAATGTCACAGAATACTTGAGTATCATTCTTCTTTTCTCTTTTTGAAACAGAAAATTTTGGCAATGGAAGAAGCTTTAAATTGGGTAAAATACACAGGCGATACAACAATTCTACCTAAATTAGGATTAATTGACAATTGTTGGTCTATGTTAAGTATTTTCTTCACTGAATGTAAGTATAAGTTCTTTAAATTGTTAACTCAGTTTTTAAAGGTATTATTTGGGAAAATGGAATATATAATTATATGATTTCTCATTTATTCTAGCAGCATTTAAAAAATATTTTTCTTTATAGTGTTTTTCTTCTGTATATGAAATAAAAGAACTTTATTTTTTTATTTCCTTTATTTATTTATTTATTTTTATTCTTTTTAATAGTGACAGTAGAGTATATTTTGACATATTATTCATACCTGGAGTATAACTTGAATAAGAGAACTTAAACCTTACAGTTAGTTTTATCCTGTTTTTTACCATTCAGATTATTGTGGCATCATACTTTAAAAATCCTATCTAATAGTTTTCATAAGTTATAATATGTAATACTCAAATAAAGAGCTCAGAATTGGGCCCATGTCTTTTCATTCATATGAGAAAATAACAGAAGCTAAAATTATGATTTTCATTTTCTTGATAAATCTGCTATTCTTTTATGTATGGAGAAATAGCCTTACATATTTCTCTAGTTTTCTGAAATGTTTTTCTTCCTTCCTTTCTTTCTTTCTTTTTTTTTTTTTTTCCTGTGGTGCTGGGGATTGAATCCAGGGCCTTGTGCATGTTGACCAAGTCCTCCGCCACTAAGCTATGTCCCCAGCCCTGAAATGATTTTCTTTAAAGCATTTGAATATCAGCAGTAAATTTTTTAGAGTATACTTTATAGGAATCTTGACACAGAAAATGTTTTGACTCTTTAGTTGATGATAATCCATAATCTGCAATCTCCATTGTGAAGAGGGAAGATTTGTCTATTGACTTAAATAATAGAGAGGAATTAAATAAAGACAGCTCTTTCTATTAGTTTCACTAGATAGTGGGATGTATTATACTGATAGAGGTTATTCTCTTCATTGTTTTAAAAGCCTCTGATTCTGGACCAGGTTTTAGGGTAGAGGTGGAGAAGCAATATCATGTATTGCCACTATTGTGGGCCCATTTCTGATTCTCTCATAATAGCCCTGTGGGGTGGCTGTTATTCTCTCTTTTTTTGCGGGGGTACTGATGATTGAACTCACAGGCCCGACCAGTGAGCTACATCCCCAGCCCTGTTTTTTTTTTTTTTGTATTTTTATTTTTTAGAGATAAGGTCTGTGTTGCTTAGTGTCTTTGATTTTGCTGAGGCTTGCTTTGAACTTGTGATCCTCCTGTCTCAGCCTCCAGAGCCGCTGGGATTATAGGTGTGCACACCATGCCCAGCCTATTATTCTCAATTGTAGAAGTGAACAATCTAAGACTTACGAGGTTAAGAGAGATTTCTACAGTCTAGTAAGTAGTAGAACTTAGATAAGAAGTCAGGTCTCTGACCTCAAAGCTCATGTTTTCCTCCAGCAACCTTGTTCTGTCCCTTAGTACTACTTTATTTGGTGACCTTCCCAGTTCCTTCTTGAATCTTAAATTTTAGGTATTCCTTTCATCCTAGAAATTAATGTTTTGCTAGAAGCATAACTGTTAGTCTGTTGCAATAAAAAAATTTACTATATTTTAAAAAATCCTTTTTATATAATAGCTTAAAATGTAGAAAATGAGGCCTGATAAACTTTTCACAGTTTGGCTATCTAACTGTGTTTAAATTAGTTTATTTTATAAGAATATTTTTATAAGGATTTTTGTAAGAATAGTATTTCAAACTTCTTTTTGTTAACATTTCTTTTTTTGAAGAGTCTACTATTCATTTTAAATACTCACTTATTATATTGAATACAGTTTATTTATTTGTGGTGCTGAGGATTGAACCCAGGGCCTTGTTCATGTGAGACAAGCACTCTACCAGCTGAGCTCTATCCCCAACCCTATATTGAATACATTTTGAAAAATATTCTCTAGGGTTTTATTTTTATACAATTTTATTGAACATTGTACCTGGTGTACTGTAGATATTTGATAATATTTGTTCAATTGACTTGAGTAATTATGAGACCTATTTTGAATATGTTATGACAAAAGTATTTGTTATAACTATAGTAACATAGTGTAATAATAAGTGGTTTTCTTTAATTGTTAATAAAAAGAGATTAGGTTTACTGCAAGCATCTGTTTTATGCAACATTTTATACGTTTTATAAGTTGTTTATTTCTAAAATATTTAATACACATGAAAGATTATAAGAAACAGGGTATTTAGAAAATGTAATAAACTTTATGAATTCACCTACTTAACCTAAGAATTAGAATTTTGTGAGTACCAGTTTTTTTTAACAAATATTCTCTCTCATTCTCTCCTAAAAATAAAACTTAGACAAGTATCACATAACTAAAGTTGTAACGGAAAACTGCAATTTACTTGAAGAATTTAAAACCCAAAATTGTGCGGAGTGTATGGAGGTGAGGATAAATATTTATCTGTAAATATATATTAAGAGTTGCTTGTTGGGGGAGCTGTGGCTGTCGCTCAGTGGTAGAGTACTTGCCTAGCACTTGTGAGGCACTGGGTACGATCCTCAGCACCACATAAAATAAATAAATAAAATAAAGGTATTATGTCTGTCTGCAACTAAAAAATATATTTTTTAAAAAAGAAAGAGTTCATTTTTGGGATAGAGTTGTGGCTCAGTGTTGGAGCACTTGCCTAGCATATGTGAGTCATTGAATTTGATTCTCAGCACTGCATGTGAATAAATAAAATAAAGATCCATCAACAACTTAAAAAAAATAGATTTGCTTGTTAGAACTTTTAACAGTCAGAGGAAGTTCATTAAAAAACCTGATGAAGGTGGGGATGTGGCTCTGTGGTTGAGTACCCCTTGGTTCAATCCCTGGTACCAAAAAAAAACAAAACAAAAACCTGTTGACAGTATCTAAGGAACTACTTACTGTAAGATTTAATAATACGTTTGATGTAAAATTTTAATAAATTTTGATTTGGAAGAAGAGAGAATTCCTTAATCTGGAATTTTTAATGATTTTAAAGCAGTTAATTGAAAAATTAAAAATTTGATTTTTTTATCATCCTTTAATTATTTGAAGAAATGATTTTCCTTGATAACATTTTTATTGAGATGTAATGTAATTCACCTGTTCACTCAGAGGAAATAATGATTCTAATTCAAGTTTTAAAAAAATATTTTTTTTAGGTTGTAAATGGACACAATACCTTTATTTATTTATATTTATTTTTATGTGATGGTGAAGATCAAAGCCAGTGCCTCATGCATGCTAGGCAAGCATGCTACCCCTGAGCCACACCCCAGCCCCTTAATTCAATTTTTAAAAAAAGACTTGGGGAGACATTTAATGTTCAATTAAGTTCTCTAGAGCTATTGATATCTAATTTATTTTAAAAAATTTGAATTGAAAAGTTTTGAATATATCAGTAACTTTTTTTTTTTTTTTTGTGGTGCTGGGAATTGAACCCAGGGCCCTGTGCATGAGAGATGAGAGGAAAGCACTCTACCAACTGAGCTATGTCCACAGTCCCCCAGTAACGTGTGTTAGTAAGAACACACATGTTCTTACTAACCTGCCAGGTGATTTTTGGTAGTTAATCTAGTCAGTATTACCTTTATTACAGTTTATATATTTTTAAGCACTAAGGTTTATTGAATAATATCACATTTGCTAACATAAAGTTAAAATTCTACTTTGCATTTCATTTTTAGTTTGCTGTCCCATATGGAAAAATATATTTAAAAATGGGTCTGCCGAATACTGCACGTGAGGGAAAAATTATTTTAGAAATTATTCACAGTGTGTTGGTTTTCCTTGCTTTTTAATATTTCTTAACAAGTTAATATGGAGTTATTAGAGAAAGGTTTCTTTTAATATACATTTGTCCCTCAGTGTCTGAGGGAGATTGGTTCCTGGATCCTATCTGATACCAAATCTGCTGGAGCTCAAATCCTTCATAAAAAATGGTATAGTATTTGCTATACCTTGTACACTTGCTCCCATATACTTTAAATAATCTCTAGATCACTATATAATACCTAGTACTCTGTAAATATTATGTAAATAGTTGTTGTACTGTATTGCTTAGGGGAAATGACAAAGAAGAAAAGTCTGTACATGTTCCTATAGACCCTTTTTGGTCTTTCCAAAAGTTTTTGATCTGCATATGGTTGAGTCTGCAGATGCAGAACCCATAGATATTGAGGGTCAACTGTACATCCCAAAATATTGGATATTACATTCTCCTTTTCTATATAAATAATCCCCTAGCTTATTTTTGATATTAAAGATGGAAACCCAGATCCATTTTTCCTAGGTATTGGTTTCTTGATTGTCTTTGGAGCTAATTGATGGGTCTTCTTTCACCTTGGTTTCTCAGCAAGGAGAACTAATGAAAATGAAAGGAAATGAAGAGTTTTCCAAAGAAAGATTTGATATAGCTATTATCTATTACACCAGAGCCATTGAATATAGGTAAGAGCAAAACAGAGCAATGAGATCCTTTTTGTGTGGCAGCTCAAGTTAGAATGTTAGCATAAATAAAAATAAGATCAAGAATTGTAGAATCTTCCAATTTGATATGCATAATAGATTTTTATTTTTTATCTTTAGTTACTAGTAGCATTGGAGGTAACCTGAGTATTTGGAACTGATTAAATCCTGCAATTCAAGCAAGTCAGGTGCAGTGGTGAATTTGGTTCTGCCTTGCTCCATTTTCTTAAGGCATTCCAGCAGAGTCACCTGTTATTGTCTTTTTCTCATTTTGCTGTCAACTACTTCCTTCTAAATTATTAACTGATCAAAAAGGATTAGTTCCTAATACTTAAAATGCTACCTACTTAGGAGGTTTTGCTTTCTTAGAGGAAACTTTTAAAGGAAAAATAGTTGGAATGGTTGAGGATGCATGTGTTCTTTTCTACCTGAAAAGAACAGCTGCTGGAATTTTGTAGTCTTCCCCCCAGGTGTGCTATTCTGTTCTTAATGGCCACTTCAGGTGAGCCACCTAATATTATAGCAGCCTTTGAAGGTTGGGGTGTACGTAACTTCTCCCTTTCCTACCTTCTCCCTTTCCTACCTTGCTTGTCCCCAGGGGGAATGAATCAATCGAGTCAACATGCTGCCCCAAGACTGCTACTCTATTCTATTGAGAAAAAGGTGGAAGAAAATAATTTCTGGCTTTATACTGTCAGACAAAACTAAAAAGATCAAAATTTGAAATGAAGCTACTTAACGTTACTGTTGCAGTTTCCAAGCTCCTTTTGCCTGGAGTTCTTTGTCAAGGTGGCATATCCCTGACATAATGATCCTGTCCTCTGTAGTTACAGCATACATTGTAGTTGACTAACTTTTTAATAAGATGTCTTATTTGATCTTGACAATAGTCCTGTAAGCTGGACAGAGCAAGGATTCTCTTCAGTTTGAACACAGGATAGTTTAGGTTGTGTTTTAAAGAAGGCTACTGAGGAAGTAATGAAGTGAGATTTACCCAGTTAAGTTCCAAATCTTGTATTCTTCCTGCTCTGCCATGAAGATATAAAGTTTTAAAAAGTTTTTTCATGCCTGTTTTTAGTGTAATGTATGTTTATTTCATATGTAATGTGATTTACTGACCAAACGTTACTTCTTTTTAAGACCTGAAAACCACCTTCTTTATGGTAACCGAGCTCTTTGCTTTCTTCGTACTGGACAGTTTAGGTAAGTTGGTTAAAGTACCACAATCATTGAATTGTTATGCTAAATGCCCATTTTGGGGGAGACATTTCTGTTTCATAGGTATGCAAGAACCCCCCCCCCCTTTTTTTTTTCCAAAAATTGTTAAAAAGAGAGTGTAGTAGGCTGTATTTATACTAACTGTACCTGCGGCAGCTGACTGAGTGCAAGCTTTTGTCATATGTCCTGCATTGTTTTAATTGCTTCACGCTAAGTCTCACAGCAACTTTAATAGGTAGGTTATATTATTCTTCACACTTTACTTGTGACCAGCTCAGCTCATACCACTAGTGAGTACTGATGCTAATTTGAACACAGATCTTAGTTGATGTCAAAGTCTGTGTTTATAACACCTATAATATACTATGTCCTTTTGCGCTATTAATTAATCTGTTTTGGAAGAAATATTTTTACTGCCTTCTTTTCTTCTATTTGTCTTGGTATGAAAAATTAAGTAAATATCCTTCATAAGTGAAAGAAAGCACATAAACTTAATAATATTACTATGAGAGTGGAATCATAACTAATTCTTAATTTCTTGTGTTGAATATATTTACTTGTTGAGAAAGATTGATGTAGATACTCTACCATGATTTTATTGCCTTGTCAGTTTTAAAAATTTAAGAAATTAGTTATTAATAATAATTAATATTGAACATGTAGACTGTTATATTTAATTATGTAATACTTTATTGTAAGAAAGGTTTGGGGTATGCTGAAGAATATATTCACACAGTAGAATATTCAAAACACAATAAATCAGAAAACCAATTCAGAGCTTGTTTTTGTCAAAACAAGGCTACATAGGTAAATGGGCCTGTAGAAATACTAATAATTCATGTTTGACCCTGATCTCCTGTTGCTTAGAATGAAAAAGGAAAACTTGGCAAGTTACATAATCTACATTATTTAAAAAGCCCCAGTACACCAATTGCTGGAATGAGTTTTCCTCCTGGTGGTTCCTTCTGAAGGAAATTTCTTAAATGGCTTACTAATAATGTTAATTGAATGATAAGAGCTAAAAAAAATTCTAGCAACATTGCTCTTTATAGGGGAAAAAAAAACATCTGAAAATAAAGTTTTGGGTTTCACAAGTGTTTTTGTGATGTCAAGAAAACTGAGAACATGATTTCAATTGTTTTTCAGTAAAAGCACTTACGTTGGGATGTGGGAAGGTGGGGGTGGGGAAGACAATATATTCCAAGTATGTAGCTTTAAAAATAACATTTATTGTGTTTTTCTTTTATTATAAACAGAACACATTCTCATGGTAGAAAATTTGGAAAATACCAGAGTTTAAAAAGAAGAAAATAAAAATCACCAGTAATCCAACCACCTTGGAGAATACCGCTGTATTAACGTTATGCAGCTTTTAGATGGCTTAAGCCGTGGATAATCCGAGGCTAACTAGACTAGAGGAATGGATGGGCTTGACACAGTCTTCCATCAATACCACTGTCCTCAACTGGTTCTGACAAGAAATGAGCTGCAAATGTCTTTAGGTTATTGCCTCTGGCTAGGTCCAGAATTGCAGATATTCTGTGGTGTTTGAAGGTGAATCTGTATACTTTCAAGATCAGATGAATAGGTTTGCAACTTGGCTAGCCTCTTGTGAAAATTGAGGTGCCTGTCTGAAACTTGCTGGGCAGAAAGTCATCTACTCTTGAGCTCTGAAAGCTGAGAGGCAAATCAGGGTGACTCACAAGGAGGATCCTCCTCAACCCCTGCTACAACAGGAGGTGCATGAAAATAGAAACACAGAATCAGGTAGCTTGGTGATGTAAAGGCCAAGAGCAGGGTATTCTTGTACCTCCTTCCTGATGTTATAGCTTATTGTTGAATGCCATCTATATTTTCACTAGAGCCCGGTCAGCAGCATTGAGAACCCTTTGTTCTTTATTAGGCAATCACCAATATATATTGGATGCCTATTTAATGTATGAAGCTATGCCACACCAGTTTTATCGGTGTTTCCTACCTTCTTACACATTGTTTATGTCATTTGCTTGTAATGTAGGGTTAATGTTTTCAGAGTCCATAGTATCACTCCTGATCAAAAAGATTAGAGTGATGAACCTTAAGAAAAGAACATGTTGTCAGTAATTGAAATGTGCCACTCACATAGGAGGACCTATGTCCTGAGAAGAGCTTTTAGCTGAGTTACCAAGGTTGAGATGTTTTGAAGCTCTCGAATCAGAGGGATGCTAGTTCTGCCATGGGAATCCTGCTGAGCATCTGTGGGGATAAAGCATCCTCCTTCCACTAGTTTGGGCAAGAATGCAGTCCTCAGTTATTCCAGAAGGCCAGGCTTCCTCTCTGCTATTGTAAAAGCAAAGGTTGAGCTGCAAGAGAACAGAAATGGAACATTTAAAATTAAAATTAGGAAAGAGGAATGAAAGGATTAAAGTAACAAATGCTGAAACTTCTAAAATAATTCTAAAAGATTAGTAAATATAAATTGGGACATTAAAAATCAAATTTTAAGGAATAACTTTGGCAAGTTTATTCTCTAAAAGGGTGAAAATAATAGTACTGTGTCTAACAACATGGGTGTGCTGTTGTGAATACTTTGTGTAAATTCACTTATAAAACCTTCACAACCACGTGAGGTAGGTGCTACTGCCTCTTTACACATAGAGAGCCCAAATAAAGGATACAAGGTGTATGAGATGGAGCCAGTGTTTGAGTCCAGACAGCCTGGATGCAGAGTCTTTATTATTATTTACTATGGAAAGGTGACGATAGAGTAAAAAGGAAATGTGAAAGTTGATAATTTTTAAAAACAAATGATCCAAATAGTCAATAAACATTTATAAGGACATGATTATCCTTACATGACATGCAGATTAAAAACTACAAGTTTCTTTTTCATATCCATCAGATTGGCAAAAACTTAAAAACTTCGTAATACCAAGTGTTTGAGAGGATGTGGAACAAAGGAAACTTTCATACTCGGCTGGAGAAAGTGTAAATTGGTACAGTCACTTTGGAGAGAAATCTGACAAGGTGAAGATGTGCATATTCTGCAGCCCACTTCTAGGGTCATCCCTTCCAAACTCTCAATGTGTACTCAAGAAGATATGTACAAGCCTTCATATATAGCATTGTTTGTAAGAGTAAAGAAATGGAAACAACCTAAATGTCCATCAGTAGGGGAATGGATAAATAAATTATGGTATATTCATACAATGGAATTCTCAATGGCAGTTAAAATGAATGCAATGTTGGTGAAAAAAAGCAAGTTGCAGAATGATTTGTACAGTATGATGCCATTTATATAATGTTTTAAGACATGCAAAACAATATGCATATTCTTAATACAGAGAATGTATTAAAAATGTTTTAAAAATGCATGGGCATGTTAAACACCAGGGGAGTGGCTATCTCTGGGGAAAAAAAGGAGGGAAAATAATTAACACAGTGGATGTCAACTGTAACAAACTTCTGCAAAAGAAGCTGAAGTAAATATGGCAAAATGTTAATTTCTTGCTAAGTTGGTACACAGTTGGTACATGGGTGTTCATATGTTAATGTTATTCTTTGTACTTTTATGTATACTTGAATTATTTGATAAAGTGTAATTAAAAGTGCACATAAAAGGGGAAAAGCCCAAAACAGTACTCCCTAAACATCAGGGGTAAAATAAGTGAAAAACTATCTTCAAAGAAAGAAATATAAATATTTCAAGGCCAATGGCAGAGGGGAAAAAGCCTGAGATGAAGTATGAGTTGGGAAACAAATGGTTCGTTCAGAAATGGTCAAGGTATCTGTGATAGTGATTTTAATGTTAAAATAGTCATGCAGTTTGTAAATCAGAGAGCACCTTTGAATGGATATAGTTGAAGCCAAGAGCCAATGAAAACCCTTCTGAGTCTGTGGATGTTGTGTTTGGGAAATGTGGAGATGGGGTTGCAGTGAGGGAGGGATGGGTGTGGGGAACTACACTGCCTCTTGCTTCTCCTGTCTACTTCTCCCTCCTCCTGTGAAATCCTTTCAGGCTTAGGAATGTGTGTGGTGAGGGCCAGTGAGTCCCAGGATGCCCTCCGTGGATGAGATTCCCTTTTACTTTGGTTTTCTAAGAGCGCACTTTTCAAATACAATTTGCTAACTGCAGGGTATTATTATTATAATGACAGTTATGATTGAGGTAACCAGAAACTTGTAGTTCAGAGGAGAATCAAGGAAAAGGAGTTGGGCATACCTGTAACTTTGGTAGCTAATGCAGCACATGTAATGTATAGCAATAGGCCTTGCTCACTTGTTTAATTTGTTCTCGTGGGACTCCTACATGGAAAATTCAGATTCTTCTGCCGGAGGTATAATGAACAGTGCAAGAAATGTAATTGGGAGAAAGGAAAAACTTAGGCTTGAATGTTTTTTTTAAATTTACTTCAGAAAATCATGGAATTTTAAAAGTTGATATTTGATCTTTTGATATTAATTTATTTACTCAGGGCTGGGGATATAGCTCAGTTGGTAGAGTGCTTGCCTGTCATGCGTTCAATCCCCAGCACCACACTCATAAAAGTTAATTTATTCATCATACAATGTTCCCTTTCATCAGATGCCAATTGTGATTAGTAACAGACTCCTCCCTTGGCTATTTTTTCTGTTTTTTTGTGAGACCAAAGGTATAAAGCAACTATGTTTCTGTGAGAATTAAAAAAATTGTGTGTGTATTTTCAGTGTGAATGTGTTGGTTTGATGAATTATTCCTCATTCTGCTCTTACTTGTATGGTTTCTATTTTTATTTAGAAGCTACCGAACTTGTTTTTGAAGAAAACAGTTTTTAGTCTTCTTTGGGGTATACCCCCTTTTTAAAAAGCAGAAACATGACGATAGTAAAAGATTGAATAGAAAGGGTACACTGAAATGTCTGCCCAACTTAGATCTATTCCCTAATCCCTCTCTTCATGCCCTTATGCATTTCCATAATGTCTTATGTCTTATGCCTGTAGAAATACTCATTATGTGGAACCACATGAAATCATTTTTGTAAATCCGAATATAGACAATTTTCACTTGGTTCAATGTAACATATCTTTTTTTAAAAAAAAACATGGTGGGAACATAACTACACTGTGGTTGTACATCTTACTTTTTTATATTTAAATCCAGGAGCTTGTTGCATATCAGTGTATTTAGAGATCTACCTTGTTCTTTCTCGTGACTACGTAGTATTTTACTGAATGGATTACTCAAGTAATCTATCAGTTTTTATGTATGCTTTGTTAGTATAGATTATTTTGTTTATAATTAGATTTATTAGGACATTGATTTTCAGTTTTAAATAATTAATTATAGGTCCATAATAAGTATCCTTTCACTTATGCTCTGTATCCAGGTACAAGTATATCTGTAGGATAAATTCCTAATAACTTTCTGTTACTTAATTAAAGAGCATATATAATTTTAAATTCAGATGCTTTTTTTTTTTTTTTTTAAATACTAGGGATTCAACCCAGGGGTGCTTTGCCACTGAGCTCCAATCCCCAGCTCTTTTTATTTTTTTATTTTGACATAGGGTCTTGCTAGTTCTGAGCCAGACCTTGAGCATGTGGGATTATAGGCATTTGCCATTGTGCCTGACCAGATACTAACTTTTGATTCAAAATGTATACGCTTATTCAACTAATGGTTATTAATCACTATATTTGACAGTGACTCTTACATCTGAATCCTGCTTTTGTAGTTTAGTGGTAACATTAAGAAACTTGTGAGATAGTTATTATTTCTTTGTTGAGAAATGAGACTAAGGGGAGAAAGCCTGTGGCTCACGAAATTCTTGTATTTACATATTGTACTTAGAGAGTCAGTAAATAGCATCTGTTCTGCACCCAAGTCTAGAATTAGTTAAGAGATGGTTGCAGAAAACGGGCTACTTTTAGTTACATGTCACCTTCATCACTGATAGAATCATTAGGATGAGGAGCCTTAAGTCTGGTAGCTAAGTGACTTGTTATTAATTCAGAAACAGTTACGAATGGAACTGGCAAACCAGGATCCTGTTAACTTTAAGTCTGGAAGAAAAGGGGATCTGGTGTCTGTCAGTGTTTTAAGGTCTGAGAGTGAGAAAAAAGAGGCTAAGCCACATACAATTAGTACCTCCCATGCCCACCCCTGGAAAAAGTTAGGGGTAGAGAGAGGAGTGTTCCCGAGTAATTAGCAAAACATCATGGAAATTGGAAGAGGGAATAGGTACTCTTTCCTAATGTTATTTTAGGGAAAAATGTAGCATATTGTGTACATGAGGTAGTAGGGTGTTTGGAGAAATAAACATACTTTCCTATTTAATAGTAATTAGAGTGCCTGAGCTAGAATGGGTTGTTACCCTCTATCTAGTATTCTGACCATGTTACATAGTTACCAATAGTAAATAACTGTTTGTATCTTCCCATTGTCATCAATGTATGTTGCACGGTATTTCTGTTGCCAAAGTCTCACCCATTCACCAGAGTGATTAGGGTTGCACTGGTTTGGATGAGCCATAGCCCCATGTGATTTACTGTGCTCACTTTGCTTTAATAGTAGGATCTGGCCACAATGGTAGTAAATGTGAAAATTTATAATCAATATATATTCATATATTAGTAAAAATTTGGATATTTATAGTATATGGTACAATTATAACATTAATGTAATATAATTATGGTCATAGCATTAATTTAAAAGTAGCATTCAGCCCTGATTCAACAAATTCTTGGGATTCTTTCAAAAAAATCTTGGCTGATGTCAGAAATTAGCAAAAACACATAGTCCTTGTGTTATTAACAGTGGGCCAGAAATGTGAAGGCCTGGGATGGGAAGGGCTGTGTTGCATTTGTGGAACTGATAGTGTCCCAGGCGGCCTGAAGACAAAGGAGAGGGAGAGGCAATCTGGCACTAGACCTTGTAGGCTACATCAAGGTTATTGGCTTTTAAAAGTGGTAGAGAAAAAAGTAAAGGATTTTGTAGTAAGGGGAGACAGCACCATTAGTACAATGGGGAGAATGGATTTGAGGGGGATGCGGTATGGAAGTGGGTTGGGAGTCTGTTGTAGGACTGCAGGTCAGAGATGATGATGGCTTGGAGCAGGGTAATGGTAGTGGAAGTGGAAAAGTGGAAGGATTCAAGGTACTTTAGAGAGAAAGTTGACAGACATTGTCTGTGGTTTGGTGTAGGGATTTGAAGGAGAAGGCAATGATTAGAATTGGTCTAAGGTTTTTGTCTTAATGGTTTCTGGGCCCATTCATGACATTGGTCAGTCACTGGAAGATGAATACATTTATTGGAGGTAGAATTTGACTTCATATTAAATTGAAGTGCATGTGACACATCCATGTTAGTATATCATATAGCAGTGAGTTTTGTGGGTGTGGAACTCATGTTTGGGATAGTTGACCTAGATGATTTGAAGTTGTAGATATGGGTGAGATTGCTTAGGGAAGAAGGTCTCCATTTGAATTGCACATTGGAATCATTTGAGCTCTGAAGAAAGATTACCCAAAGATGCTAGGGTGTAGCCAATCTAGGGTCAAGTTTGGGCATTGGGCTTTTAGAATCTCCTCTGATAGTACTAATGTGTAAACAAGTTTCAGACCTGCTGGCCTTTAGCAGATCTGAGACTAGAAGAGGAATCAGCATTGACCCTTGAGTAACACAAATAATCAGTCAAGAGAAGGACGAACCTATCTAGGAGACTATTAAGAAGTGGCTGGGGAGGTAGGTAGGAAACTAAGTGTGGTGTCATAGAAGTGAGTGAGAGTTGCCAGGGGAGTCTGTGGCTGCTCTGAAGCCAGTTCAATGGAATTTGCTTTAGCAACATGAACATCATTTACTAGTAGATCTGTTAGTAGGAGTCTTGGAACAGAAGGTGGTTGGAGTGAGTTGAATAAAGTGAGAAGAAATGGAGACAGCTAGCGTAGGTAACTTGTAAACTTGCTGGGGGAGAGACTGAAGCTTAAGAGGTATGCCATTAGATTAAGATATTTTGGGCTTCACAAAACAAACAGGCAAATGGTGTAAATGGTGAAGAAAACAATCTCATTCACAAGTTCAAAAAGAAGGTGGTTCTAAGATTATTGAACAGTGTAATCAGAGACCTGTTTTCTTCCAGCCTTAGAGTGTCATTTGGTCAGCGGGCTGTCCCTTCAGGATGGCAGAGTGGCCATTGTGGCTCAGACATCAAACCAGATAATGGTCTCCAACAGAAAAAAGATAGTTTTTCTTTGTAGGTTTTTTTTTTTTTTAAAAGATCTTAATACATGTTTTCAGAGACCAAACAACTGAAACCACCCACATCACAGACCCAGTACCTAAGAAGTCCCCCTTGTTTCTCCTTCCAGTCACTACCCAAGTCCTTCCCCTGTATTACTACTGTTCTGACTTCCAGAGGTTAGTTTTGCCTGTCTTTGTGCAATTATAAATGGAATTGCATACTATGTGCTCTTCTGTGTTTGGCTTTCAGCATTCTTTTTGAGATCCATATTGTTGCATGTAGTTGTAAAGTGTTCATCTATTGCATGAATATACCATGTTTTATCCATTCTATTGTCGATGGGCATTTTGGTAGTTTCTAGTATTTGGCTTTTACAGATAGTGTTGTAAATGTATGTATCCATTTTTGTTAAAGTGTATAATCGAGGACTTGAATTGCTGGGACAGAAGGTATGCTTGTATTTAGCCTTACTGCATAGTTTCCTATGTGGTTTTATCACTTTATGGTCTTACTGGCAACATGTGAATTTCAGTTCCATGTCCTCACCAGCACTTATCATTTTGCATCTTTCATTTTAGATATTTTGGTGGGAGTATATAGCACTGTAATTTTAATTTGCATTTCTATAATTCAAGTAAGGATATTTAAGTTGAGTATTTTTCCATATGCTTATTGACTATTTGGATATTCTCTTGGTCTTTTGCTCGATTTTCATTTTTCCTAGGTTGAATGTCTTATTCATTTGTGGGAGTTTTTTTGTATTGTTTTGTATTCTGGATGAGTCCTTGGTCAGACTTATGTTGCAGATGTCTTCTCAGTACCTTTTCATTCTTGATGTTTTCACTGAGAAGTTATTAATTTTAATATAGTAGGTTCTATTAATTATTTCCTTTATGGTAAGTGCTTTTTGTGTGTAGTCTTTGCTTACTCCAAAGCCACCAAGGTGTCCTCTGTTTCTTCTACAATTTTAACTTTGATAATTAGATCTGCAAGCCTTCTGAAGTTGATTTTTGTATTTCATGTGAGGTAGGGTTCAAAATTCATATGACTGTCCAATTGACCCAGCACCATTTCTTTAAAAAGTATTATTTTCTCCATGCACTGCAGTGTCACTTTGTCATAAATCAGGTGATTGTGTCAAATCCATTCCTGGTTTCTCTTTTGTTTTCTGTTGGTTAAGTTGTCTTACATACTTTTTAATTTTTTTTTCTTTTTTGTATATAGCCTTTTACTAGGAATTGATATCTGGTGGTATGATACCTAGTTTTGTTCTTCCTTATAATCTCTTTTTAAGAATAATGAATTAATATGTGTGAATACAAAATGATAAACCAATGAATTTTAAACCAGATAAATAGGGGAATAGGAAAAAGAGAAAGCAGGCAAATCAATGAGTTAGACCCCCTGAGAAGATAGTAGGAAATAGTTTAACCAGTAAGAGTTGGATGCCCTCACAGGTGGATTTAGGAGTTTGACAGTTCTGAGTGATGCTAAGTTTTGCCAAAGGGGTGTGATGGTAGATGACTGAGTTGAGGTATGGGAGGTTGTTGAAGGTAAGCCAGGCAGCTGAGAGACTGAGTATGCATATACTGATGTTTACATTTTCTAACTTAGCATCTACCTCAAAACAGCTAGAAAAGAAAGAATTATTATCTTCATTTTACAGTTGAGAAGGTGGGTTCAGGGATATTAATGACTTGTTTAAGGCCCCAGGAGAATTAGCAGTTGAATTGGACTTAACTTAGGCCTTCTGTCCAGGAATGCATGCTCTGTTCGTATAGCTTAGCTAACAAGACCTGGGAGTTAAAATTTTGGCTACAGAAGTCTTATTATTGAAAGGCAAAATTATTGCACGCAAATATACAAATTTTCAGTTATGCATATGGTAAGATGTTGATACGATATATGCAGGAAATATTCCAGAAATGCTGAAAATACTTATTCCTGGGTTGTTGTGATTGTGACTCTGGGTGACTTTTCCCCTTTGTTTTACTTTTCTGTATTTTCCAAATTTCCTATAATGGACGTATATTATGTGGATTTTAAAAAATTAGTATTTGACTAAATGATATACATGGAAAATTCAGAACATAAAAATAGATAGCAATATACAGTACTTTTACAAAAATAAAAGAATGGAGATGTTTAAATATTTTATTTTTTCTTTTTCTGTTTAGAAATGCACTTGGTGATGGAAAGAGAGCCATTATTCTGAAGAGCACTTGGCCAAAGGTAGGTTTCTTTTGTATTTTTACATTGAGCCAGTAATACTATATGTTTTTGTGAAAATTAATATATGGGATGTGTATTTATATATAAAAGTGCTGGATGCAATTATCAAGAATAGGAAAGGGGACGCTTCAGTTCCACTACCACTATGGAGATTTGGCAGTAGCTGTGAGAGGCTGAGAATGTGTGTGTGCCAGCATGAGGTGTCTTGGAGAGCATAGAGGGGCTGTAGCAATTGAGAGGTAATATCTGCAAGTGATAGGTGTGCCTAAATGTGAAAAATGAAACTTTAAAACTTTTAAGGAACTAGAGGAAAGCATTTATCCTTTCTTTTTTTGGTGCCAGGAATGGAACCCAGGGCCTCCCTCATGCTAGTATATGCTCTACCACTGAGCTGCACCCCAGCCTTTGGATTTCTTAAGTAACACACAATGTATAAATCAGCAGTGAAATAAACCACATTGATATAATTTTCTACATCATACTTAAAAACTTATATACATAAAAGATATGAATGAAATAAGCAGGGAGGAGATCATTTGTTCATCAATAATTTATATAACTAATAGGATTTATATATAATTGATAGGATTGTATTGCGAATATGCAGAGAACTCCTAGAATAAATAAGAACCCAGTAGAAAAAGGGCCAGTGAAACAAATACTTTCATACAAGAAACCCTGATTGTCTAGTAGAAATAAGAAACTTGAAAATCTGTTTCTTAGTAATTAGACTTGTGGGGGATTGGTACAAAGATAGAAAAATGAAACCAACAGAGAAAAATAGAGGGCTTCTAAGAGAGAGACCCACCTATAGATGAGTAAATAAAGCAATGCAATAGTGTTGGGATCCTTCACATTGGCAAAAATTAAAGAGACTGAGGGTCCAGAGTATTGGTACTGAGTGTGTAGTAACAGGAACCCTCTATAAACTGATGGAGGTGTGAATTGCTTACAACCAACTTGGAGAGCACCCTGATGTGCATACCTCATAATTACTTGATTTTACACTAACAATTACTCCATTTCACATGTGTCAAACTAGAAAATTTCTTACATATATATAGTGTGTCAGTTTCTTACACACACACACACACATATATATATATATATATATATATATATATATATATATATATATATATAGTGGCCTTGTTTTAATTGCATCAAATCTCAAATACTTAAATGTCCATTGATAAAGCAGTGGATGAGTTGGTATTTTTACTTGATCAAAGTTATTACTCTGATCTGTTTAATCTGTTCCCATCTTGAACACCCTTCATTCCTCAAACCTCATTCCTGCTACTCTCTCTGGGCTCCTCACTGTTGCTCCCATCAGGCCAGGCCCATTTCATTCTGTTTTTGCTCTTTCCTCTGCCTCAGACACTTTCCCCCTAGAACATAGCTAGCTCCCTTATTTCCTTTCATTCTTTATAGAACATCCTTTTCTCAATGAAACCTTCCCTGGCCATCTTATTAAAATGCAAACCCTGCTCCTTTGAGACATTTCCTATCTTCTTTCCCTTTTTTCCTCTTAGCATTTGGCATATTATTGAAAATATTGTTACACTATTCAATATTGTTACATTATTTATTTATATTGTTTATTGTGACTTCCAGTGTAATGTGGGCTTTACAGGGAAAGGCTTTTTCATCTGTTTGGTTTGCTCTTAAATCTGGACTGTCT